ACGTTTCATCCAGGTCAGGGTCCATGTAAGTGAAGCATCCAGACGCAGCAACTCCAACAGAGTTAGTGAGGGTAAATGCAGAATCAGATCCATCAGAATCTGATTGCATAAGTGGAGGGAGCTGCAGACTCCACTTCCCTCTGCTGGTCTAGTTTTTTGGACTAGAACCAGGTCTGCGAGGCATATGGGGACAATCTTTTAAGAAGTGGTCCCCCTCGTAGCTAAAACAAACCTCACGGACCTTCCTCCTCTGCCACTTCCCCTCCTGGATCATGAGCGATCTCCAGGGAAGGGTGGAAGGATTCATGACGTTGATTGGCCAATGGACGTCTCGTGGTAAATTTGGTCTCTGGGCTTAAGGGGAAGTGGCACGTCCCTTCCCTTTCCCCTTCTGACTGGCTGAACCCTTGTTGCTGTCCTTGCTGAACTTTCCCTTGAACATCGCAGCAAGATTCTCAGCCAAGGCAAGAACGGTTGGCTCAACTGATGATCCTGATGCAGTCTCAGATGGAGGACTGCCACACTGAGATGCATCAGAATCAGACCCTGCATCAGCAGCCAATAGAGCGCCTTTCCTCTTGCGCTGTCCCTGGGAGGTAGGCCTCTTCCTTCCTTCAGAAGGAGTTTGAACCTTGAGCCGAGACTCTAGGTCCAGTGCCGCTTTGCCAAAGGACCTCTAGTCCTTGTGGCCTTGAGCATACAAAGCAATCGAGTGGTCTGGAGGTGCTGCACGCAGGAAATGAGTGAGCTGGTCAGACTCACTCATCTCCAGACCCGGTGTCGATGTCAAGCTCTCAAATAGGCTGTAGAGCTTGGATAAAGAGCCCTCAAATCTGAGAAACCCCAGCAACATAATTTTATTAGCTGCTTTGCGGGCCTGCTCCCTGTCAGCAAACCGGTCCTGCAGCGCCTTCAGCAACCCTGCCACCCCCAGCTGATGTGCCCATCTATCCATAGCAACATTCTCTTTGGTTGCAGAGGACGTGCATCATTTCAGTGCAGACCTCTCCAACCGGCCAAGAATGGTCCCCACCTTTGTTGCTTCTAGGCATGTAAAGCTGCTCAGGTATACCTGCATAGCGGTGACCCAGTCTGACACATCCACCTTGGGGTCTTCCCCAGAATACATAGGAGGTGGTGCCAGCTTGGGCCCTCGCAGCACAGATGCACGAGAAGCGACAAAGGGGGTGGATGCATGGGAACCAACAAGTGAGGCTGGACGACTGTGAGGTGGTGAACCTGCTGGCCGGGTGATCAGCTGGCCAGCTGGCTGTACAGGCTGGAGGGATAGAAGGGGCAGCTTTAGGTGCTGCAGAATGCTGTTCATCCCTGTTGCCAGAGAGGTCAGGTCCTTTGGCATCTGATCCACCTTGTGTTCGATGGCGGAGACCTGACTCTCCACAGCAGTGATCCGGTGGTCCCAGTTCGAAAAATAAGATTTGCTAAGAGTGTCATTCAGGATGACCATCTCAACAAAACTCTTATTGTATCCACTGACGGAACCATTGTTAACAACTTTCTTTACCTCCACCAAAAGTTATCTCCTCCTTTCCTCCTGCTTTCCGACCTCTTCAGTTTCCTCTTTCTCCTTCCTGAGCTTGGCGATCTGTTCATCAACTTTTCGCCTAGCTTCCTCAGCAATCAGCAATGCTTGATCCAGAGGGGAAAGAGGAGGCTCAGGAGGAGCAGAAGTTTCAGCCTCCTTCTTCTTTTCAGACATGTTCCCTTCAGCGTCAACCATGATAATCCACTCACATAGTCAATAAATATAAACAGGCAGATAAGAGGTAATCAGAGATAAAGATTACACACACACAGAGGTCATCAGTGCCACCTGATGAGAAGAGACATGGTGTAGTAGCAGAAGAGCGCTCAGCCTCTGTAGGTTGCTGAGGGCTATCCTGGGTCAGTTTAGGTCAGAACCATATAAAACCAGATTTGTAATTTTTCATTCACAGCCCAGAACCCTCATCTGAGTCAATACCCCAGAATCGCTATCAAAGACATAGACAAGATGCAACCTTGGACTGTAAGCAGACAAATTAGAATAGCGATGAGAGTTAGTAGCAATCCCCATAACCCAGTAGTCAACCAAGATGCAGCGGGTGACTGAACAAGCTATTTTTAGACTCCTACTACTGACACTAGCACTGTAGGACCCTGTATGCCCCACTATGGGTGAGGCGAAGTACAAATTGCACTGTACCTGACTCAAAACATCAAATCCAGTATAGCGCTTTCAGACACTGACTATATACTGAATTGCGATTTCAGGGTGACCGACAGATTGAAATTCTGACGGACAGAACCTAAGTCATGCCAAACCCTAGCTGCCCCAAGTACTGGCTATGGCAGCACAATATTCGGAATTTCATTATCACTGACATCCAGACCCTGAACTACTCAATTCAGAGTGCATACTGAATCGCAATACTATAATACAGTTTGAGATGCAATTTGAGACAGAGAGGACGTCAAACAGGTTCAGTAAAAGTCAAAGTAGGTAGGTAGGAGAAATGGCTATGGCTGTCAGGSAGTGCGATTTTCCAGTTTCACTGACTACAGACATATAATCCCTGTTTCCCCAGTCTAAACACAACCCCCGGATTCGCTACAGAGACTTGAGTAAGGAACACACTTACTTCATGTCAAAACACTGCATGAAGAAGCTAAACTGGCTATGRCTSCCATCTTGCCAGTTTCTTCCATCCACTGTTCMTGGTGCTCCCACGTTCAAAATCTCCKGAAACTTGGTGATACTGAARCTCTTGATATGACGAATAATCCCCACTAGCCAAATCCRTTGAACTTGGTCCAGGATTTGCAACTCGACATACCCCAGGTATCTCGCCACTAGCTGAGTCACCACTTGGGCTAAAAATAGCCCCTCAGTACCTTCCAGGCCACTGAGYACTRAATCRCCACCAATCCCTATGTCATACCACTCGCCACACACCCTTCACCAACACCCTACTGAGCGCAACACTGAAGATGAAGTTTCTCCACGAAACCCTAYGTYAGAACTCTAAGGTAGTGATGGCTGCCTCAGTCCATCATCTCGCCACTATTTGGGTCCGATCGGCTCCGATACCAACTGTTATGAACATGATTGTCTGTTGAAATTTTATCAACACTCACTCACATGAACTCCYGTACACGCCCATACATGCACAAAAGGAAGGGGAGAGGTAGTGGAGTATCACACCGCCCAACAGAAAGAAACGCAGCRGAAGACTCAGGGGAGCGAAGTGACAGAATACACAGAYATTGAATTCTATCCACACAATTCCCAACAATCATTCATAGAAGACAGCCGAGTGATCACAACCAGAAAACAATGAAGAGATGACAACTCAAACACAGTATTGCAACTGTTTATTAAACTCAGAGCACCGTTTTCCCTGAATAACATCAAAACCCTATTGCGCTACCCTAAGATGGGTGGTGCCTCAACCCCAACACCCTGAACAACTAAAATAGCCCCGAAACCCCAGGTAGCACCCAGCGCCACCCTGACATCCAACTCAGTGGCCTGCGCCAAAGTGAAACAGGCTCCCAGAGCCAATCGCCATCCAGGTGATGAAGAAGAAGCTCAGCGCCAACAGTCCCTGATGAAGATGAAGTCCAGACGATGATATCTCTGAGAAGATGCAGCTATCGCCACTGGGACCCTACTCCCTGTGTGTCCGAAAATCGATTCAACGCGGGTTTCACGTTGAAAAATTGAACGTGCGTTAAATTCGCGTTCAATCCCCGTTCAAACGCTTGTTGGACGCGAATGAACGGGGTCCGTGAACTGTGTTTCCGCGCTTTTGGGGGGGGTGTAGGGGTTTTGTGAAAGTGTGGGGTGGTAC